CCACCAGGCCCAGCTATGTCTGTCTGTCTGTCTGTCTGTCTCTCTCTCTCTCTCTTTAATGTTTTTTATGTGAATATGTATATACTTGCATGAGTTTATGTGCACCACATTTGTGCAGTAGCCCATAGAGGCCAGAAGAGGGCATCAGATCCTCTGGAACTTGAGTTACAGGTAGTTTTGAACCACCATGTGGATGCTGGGAACCAAACCCAGGTCTGCAAGAGCATAATCACTGAGTCATCTCCTCAGTCCCAGCCTTTGTGTCTTGTGTATGCTGTTCTTTAATAAAATGTGTGTCATAAAGACAGCTCTGTCTGTCTGTCTGTCTGTCAGGCTGTCTAGTTAGTTTGGTTCTTTGAGAAAGTCTCACTATGTAGCCTAGGCCATCCTTGAACTCATAATCCTCCTACCTCAGTCTCCCAAGTGCTAGGATTATAGGCATATACTACTATACCTGGCTAGAAGCTTTGATTCTTAATGAATGATTTCTGTTAAATGCACTTATTATCCTAATTTTAAAAGTTTGTTAAGAAGAAAATATTTTGAACAGTATTTTTATTACCTTACAAAACAGGAGTTTTCTTTTTTTAAAAAAAATCTTATTACATTTTTATATTTTCTAGTATACACATGGTATAGCACACATGTGGAGGTCATAGGACAAATTACAATAGTTGGTTCTCTTCTTCCACCATATGAACCCTGAGGATTGTCAGGTGGTTAGGCTTGGCAGCAGGTGCCTTTACCTGCCACGCCATCTCACCAGCCCCAATAGCAGAATTCCTCAGGGCATTTTCAAGAAGGAAATATTTTAAAGAGTAGTTATCAGGATGAACATGTTTCTGATCAAGATGTTTTTACCAACTTGCTTTAAAAAAAGAAAAGGCATCTTTTTTTTTCTTTTTAAATTTTTTGTTTTTTTGTTTTTATGTGTATGTTTTGTTTTTATGTGTATGAACGTTTTGCCTGCATGTATGTAAATACACCCATGTTCCAGTGCCCATGAAGGCCAGAAGAGGGTGTCACATCCTCTGGAACTGGGGTTATGGATGGTTGTTAGCTATCATGTAGGTGCTGTGAACCAAACGTGGATTCTCAGCATGAGTAGCCAGTACTCTTAACTGCCAAGACCTCTTTCCAGTCCCTCCTAGAGCCTTTTTAACTCTTGTGTTTTTAAAGTCCTTGCTTCTGCCTGTTCTGTAGTCTCCAAGTTAAAAAAGAATTTGGTAATGTTTTTCTATATGCAGTGTATGTTTTAATTTAAAAGCATTTTATTTTTGAGAATTTTATACATGAGTATTGTCCTTGCATTATTTCCATCCCTCCTGGTCCTCCACCAACTCTTCCCATGCCCCTCTCCCCATTCCCTTTGTATTTCTTGTCCTCTTCTTTGATTATTATTGTTACATATACATATGTATATTTATAAATATATATATTTTTATATAGTACACTGAATCATTTAGTGGTGCTTGTGTTTACCTGTGTTTAGGACTGCACACAGGATAAGTTAACCTCTCAGGAAGCTAGTCCCTGGAGAAAATTGATTCTCCCTTTCTCAGCATCCATTGATTGCCTATAGCTCTTCATCTTGAGGTGGGACCCTGTGACATTCCTCCACCTACTTTAGCATGTCAACTGATTTTAGGCAGATTTCATTAGATTATCACATTGGAGATTTCACTATTAAAGCTTCCCTATCATGTTTAGAATGCATTAACTAGCAGCAGGTGTCTTGTGATCTGGCTCTTACATTCTTCCTAACCCCTTTTCCATGATGTTCCCTGAGCCTTGGGTGTAGAGGTTGTTTTGTAGATGTGTCACTTAGTGCTAGGCTCCTCACAGTCACTTATTCTTTGCATTTGACCAGTTGTGGAACTTTGTATTAGTCTCCATCTGTTGCAAAGAGAAGCTTCTTTGATGAGTGGTCAGAGGAACACTGGTCAGGGTGTGTGAGCTGCGTCTGCTGTGTATTTTGAGCTATTTACAGAAATGTAAAAGAGAACCTTGGCCTTCAGTTAGTGTCACAAACATAAATCAATAAATTAGAAAACTAGGAAATATTTATAAAATATAAATGGATAGGTAGCACTGGAGAGGCGTGGAGAGAGATGAATGTAGTAAGAGGGTAGTAAATCTTCAAGAAAGTGAGCTCTGAAGCCAGGTATCAGACACATACCCACAATCCTAACACTAGGGATTCAGCAGACTGAGGCAGATGACCATGAGTCCCAAGTCAAACTGGGCTCCGTAGTGAAACTCTGCTTCAAAAAAAGGAAAGGAATGACTGAGTGAGTGGGTGCTTATCTAATCTTTACTAGGTCCTGGGTTCAGTCCCCAGTACCACAACAAAAAAGCTCTGAGCTATATCCTAAAGAATGAATAGGTTTATTAGCTAGGAAAATCAGGTAGAAAAAGGACATTCAGAGATAGGACAACATTTAGAAGTGTATTCAACACTTTTTACTGAACCTTGAATATTGTCATCTTCATCTGTATTACTTTTCTCGTTCCTATGACAAAATATCTGACAAAAACAACTTAAAGAGGGAAAGTTTTACTGTGGCTCACAGTTTAAGAAGGGATATAATCCATTGTGGTAGGAGACTCATGGTGGCAGGAGTGTGACAGAGCTCTGGTCACACTGCATCTGCAGTCTGGGACCACAGCCCATGGAGCTTACATTTGGGAGGGTCTTCCATCCTCAGTTAAACCTCTCTTGAAACACCCTCCCAGATATTCCCAGGGGTGTGTTTCCTACTTGATTCTAAATCCCAGTCTAATAGGCAAAGAAGATTATCCATCACGTCACCATTTCAAGCTCACCCGAATTATCCCCTCTTGCTGGAAAACTTCCTCTCTTGATCTTTAGGATTTTTTGAGATGGGGACTCATGTAGCCTATGCTGACCTCAAACCCCTATATAGCTGTTATGGCCTTATCCCTGATTCTCCTGCCTCTACCTTTCAACTGCAGAGATCGCAAGTTTATTCTTCCATACCTGGGTAGATCATTTTTGTTTTGGGGGGTTTTGTTTTTGTTTTTATTATATTCCAGAGCTAGTGAGATATCTCAGCACCCAAAAGTATGTGCTGCTCTTACAGCGGACCTGAGTTTGATTCCTAGCAGCCATATCAGGTGGCTCACAACCACCTGTAACAGAGGATCCTATGCCCTCTTCTGGCCTCCACAGGCACCTACACACGTTTCATACAGACACATATACACACATGCACGCACGCACTCACACAATTTCCCTTTATCCCCTATCTTTCTTCAAATGGTTATCTATCACTGCCTCAAAAAGTCCTCTCCCCTGAGCCTCCCATTTTGTAACATGTCATCTTTCTTCATAACAAGTGAAATTTGTATTACTTCAATTTAACTTTATATATATATATATATATATATATTCATATGCATATGACATTTATATAAAATACCCGAAATTATACATTTATACCACCTTTCTCTTTCATGAACAAACTTAGTCCACATTAACTGCTATTTTTCATGGTGCCTAGGAGAGTGTCTGGCATATCATGGCCTGTTTGTTTAATTTTAATTTTAATTTTTGTCTTTTTGAGACAGGGTCTCCCTGTAGCCCCAGCTGTCCTGGAACTCACTATGTAGACCAGGCTGGCCTTGAACTCACAGAGATCCACCTGCCTCTGCCTCCTGAGTGCTGGGATTAAAGGCATGCACCACCACACCCAGCTTGTTTAATTTTTAAAGTACATTTTTATTTGTAATTGATTCACAGAAGTTGCAGATGTCTGTGGAGAGCATTATACCATTTCCATGCATATATATGATGTGTAATGATCACATTAGTGTAACTGACACATCTGTTACCTCAAATATATATAATTTCTTTGTGTTGGAAAAATTCAAAATCCTCTCTACTAGGCTGTTTTTCAGGCACTCGGTTACTGCCTACTGTAGTTATCCTACCTATAGAATATTGTAAGTTATCTCACCTATCCAAGTGCAGTTTTCAACCCATTATCCATTCTCTGTCTATCTTGACTTCCCACAATCTCCTAGGTTCCCATAACCATGACTCTATTCTCTGTCTTTGAGGTTAACTTTTTAATTTTCACATGCAAATGACAATATTCATGTTTTTGTTTTTGTTTTTGTTTGGTATTTTAAGACAGGGTTTCCCTGTAGCCTCAGCTGGCCTGGAACTCACCATGTAGACCAGGCTGACCTCCATCTCACAGAGATCCTCCTGCCTCTGCCTCCTGAGTTCTGGGTTTAAAGGCATGCATCACCATACCCAGCTTAGGTCTTAAAATTTTTAAGCAACATGATGGATTTAAAATGTCTCTGCATTTTATATGGGTTGGAGCCTTACCTAACTCCAGGTAGATAGTGATCTTAAAGCCAAAGTGTTTTGACTCTCTTTTAAATACATTTCCTGTTTTCTTGCACTGCTAAAATTTCTTTCTTGGAAATTGGGAAGAAGACTTTTGACCTTACTTGCCTTGTTTCCATAGTAGAATCCTGGGACTCTCATTTATCTGGTGACTTGTCTCATCTGAAATATAGAGTGCGCCACTTCCACAAAACTGAGCATTTCCTTACTAAGTAGTAGTTGATCCTCAAAAAAAAAAAAAAAATGTCCATACTTGTATTCAAAGCAAAGGAATGCTTAAGAAATAATTGAATATATTCTTTCGCTTTTTGGAAATCTTTATTTCAATGATTTCCATGAAATAGAAGGTCAAAGTTTCAACTCTTTTAGTGTAAACCTTACTTGGCAATTGTTCCTACAAACTGGCAAATTGATAAAAAGCTGGCTGATAATTGAAAGCTCTAGGCACTCTTCATGGACTGCTCTCAGCTATACAAAACAGAATTATCAGGTCTGTGTAACATGGTTTTTCTAGAGTAGTTGTACTTTGGTAATATTTTTTAAGTACATGGATCAGTTGTAAAGTTTATAGCTTATTTTAGTAATATCTGATTTATGGTTTCGTTTCTGTTTTTGCCAGGCAAGAGAACAGCATATCGTTGGTAAGAGCATACTGGAATGAGCTTTTTACTCTTGGTCTTGCCCAGTGTTGGCAAGTGATGAATGTAGCAACTATATTAGCAACGTTTGTCAATTGTCTTCACAGTAGCCTTCAACAAGGTAAAAAATAACTTTGCTTATTACTTTTTCAGAGATATAGGAGGAGCCATCAGTTTTATAAAATGTTACGACCAGGGCTGGAGAGATGACTCAGTGGTTAAGAGCACTGACTGTTCTTGCAGAGGACCCCAGTTCAGATCCCAGCATCCACATGGCAGCTAACAATTGTCTGTAACTCCAGTTCCAGGGGGATCCAGTGTCCTCTTCTGTCCTCGGGTGCACTTACATACATGCAGGTGTAACTTAACTCATATACATAAAAATTTTTTTAAAAATATTATGACCAAAGTTAGATACCCTGATGATTATATTAATGTTTCGAGTATCAAAACCCTTTTAAAGATAATGTTTACATTTTGATAAATCCATTAATCATTTGAAGTATTTTTTTAATATTTTATTTATTTTTATTTTATGTGTATGAGTGTATTGCCTGCATGTACATGAGTGCACTCGCGTTGTACAATGCCACGGAGGCCAGAAGAGGGCTTGGCTTCGGATTCCCCTGGAACTGGAGTTAAGGACAATTCGTAGCCACCATGTGGGTGCTGGGAATCGAACCCGGGTCCTCTGCAAGGGCAGTCAGTGCTCTTAACCGCTGAGCCATCTCTCCAGCCCCCGAAATATTTTTAAATGAGAAAAACAACATGAGAGCTAATATATTTAAGTCTGCAGGGCTTCAGTAATCTAGCTTTTGTTGCCAAAATAGAATACATGAGACTGGGTTATTTATAAAGAAAGGTTTATTTTATTTTGGCTCCTGGTTCTGGAGGTGCAAGAGCCTGGAGCCCACATCTGCTCAGCTTCCAGCAAGAGACTCTTAATTGCAAACAGAAAATCAAGCAAGTGTCTGCAGGAGGCAGGACACATGGTACCAGCGGGCCAAGGAGTCAAACTTTCTTCTGTAACAACCTGTCTTTTCGAGAATGAGTCTAATCTTGTAAGAAAGACATTAATCCCTATTACAAGATTCACCTTCAAGCACCTTTGCCTCACAAAATAAATTCTAATGTGAATTTTGACAGGGACTTACCCTACCCAAACCATAGTATAGCTATTGCTGGCCAGCCCTGTGAATTTTTATACTTTTACATAGGAACTTAAAAATCTATATAGATAGAGATGATCAAATATTTAAACATTTGAACTTCTCTCCAATTTTAAAACTATCTTTCTTCATTATAAATCTTAGAATAACATGATAGGCTGGTTTTTATTTAATCCCGTAAGATGTATTCTATCACCTAAAGAGAACTAAAGCATGTGGGCATGGTGGTACACCCCTCGAATCCCAGTCCTGGTTCTGATCAAGGAAGCTCCTAAGTTTGAGGCCAGGATGGGCTACATAACCAGACCCTGCCTCCAAGAAATTTTTTTTTAAAAAAACAGAGAGAACTGAAGAGTTGTAGAATCCTTACTTTCTTTGTTCTTTTCTAGATGCCTCTTTCATTTAAGGAGACAGACAACCACAGATTTATAAACACCTTTAAAATGGCTTGTGACTAATTAAAATGCTGTTGCCTTTGAGTTCAGGAATACATTATACTTTAGTCACTATTTTCCATTCTTTAGCACATTCCATTCATTGGCTTTTTGTTTTGTTTTGTATTTGGGGTTAGTGATTTGGCTTTTGGAGATAACATCTCACTCTGTACTTGAAGTTCACCTGCCTCCTACACCTACTGCTCCACCCCAAGTGCTAGGATAGCAGATATACACTGTTCACTACTCCAGGCAGTTCCTCTTGTCTTCTCTCTCTTTCTTCTTTCCCTCTTTTTTTTTTTTTTTTTTTTTTTGCTTGAGACAAGAGGCAGAACCTCACCCTGTAGTCCAGCTCATCTAGAAGTCACTATGAAGCCCAGGCTAGCCTTCAGCTAACAGCTGTCCTCCTGCCTGTTTCCCAGGTATGGTGATTACAGGTGAGCACCACCGTGCCTGATTTTTTTTTTTTTTCTTTTTACACTGTTTTAAGTCCTCTGCTTCCTCATCATAAAGGACAGAAAAGTCACTGTAGACTCCACTACAGGAGAACAGCTAGCAGGCAGCAGCGCTTGTTCTTCTCGTTTCTCTCCTGAATCACTCTGTCTGCTCATGTGTTACACAGCCTGCCCTCAGGTAGCTGTGCTTCACTGTATACTCTGGATGTCCTTTATACATATCCCTTACAACAAAGTAGACTATTGTAGAAATTTATTCTCCTCAACTTTTCTTTGGTCTTGGCAGTGTGCTTTGCTCAACTTTTGTTTTTATTATACTAGTTCCTAGTTTGTTTGTTTGTTTGTTTTTTCTGGGTTGGGTGATACACGGTGTCCCTGTAGCCACAGCTGGCCTGGAACTCACTTCGTAGATGAGGCTTGTCTCAATCTCACAGAGATCTGCCTGCCTCTGCCTCCTGAGTGCTGGGATTAAAGGCCTGCACCATCCAACTAGTTTTCTAATTTTTAAAACTGAAAATGATTTTGCTCATTATTTTTCCAAACAAAGTAATCTTAAATTAAACCCTGTTACAAAAATTTGAGTCTTTCTCACTGTTTGTTTGTTTGTTTGTTTGTTTGTTTGTTTGTTTGCTGTAGCCCAGGCTGTCTTCAAACTCCTTAAGTACTGAAAGATGAACTTGAACTCGTGATCTTCCTGCCTCCACCTCCCAAATGTTAGGCTTGCAAGTGTGCACCAACTCACCAGGTTGTGTGTAGTGCTGGGGAACAAATCTAGGGCTTCCTGAATCCATGGCCATCTTTTGTACTTTGGCCGGCAATTTTTTCAGATGGATGCCTCTATGTCTTCTCATAGGTGTATCTTAAAAGAAAACATTACATTTGGGGTTTCACTACTGTATTTTTTTAAATGCTCTATATTGGAAGGCAGTTTGCTAGCTTCATCTATAATGGCAGCAATTTTGAATTTTAATTTAGAGATGGTTGGAGGCAGTGAAGAGAATGTTTATGAGAAGGAGATGCATTGGGTAAAAATGGTCAAATATTTGAGATGAAAATAAGAAGTGTTTGTTTTTGAAGATAAAATGTCACCAGAAAGGAGAAAATTGTTGATGGAGCACATCTTCAAACTACAAGAGTTTTGTAACAGCATGGTTAAGCTCTGCATTGATGGACATGAATACGCCTACCTGAAGGCCATCGTACTCTTCAGTCCAGGTAGTAAGCATTTACTTCTTTGATCTTTCTTTATTATTTATGCATTTTTGCTATTTTGAAATAGATTAGTGCTCCCTGTATAGGACAGGCTTGCCTAGAACTCTTGGCAGTCCTTCTGCCTCAACCACCCGAGTGCTGGGATTACAGGTATATGCCACAATGCCCAGAACATTTACCTCTGCTTAAAGTAAAATGTTTGAGATGTGTAGAAATTAGAAGTGTTATACACTGCAGGCAGCAGTTACCTTAGGAAAGAGTTTAGCAATTTTTCTTTCTTTCTTTTTTAATGTTAGTTATTATTTTTATTTTATGTGTATGAGTGCAGTACCTCTATGTAGGTGGGTATACCCATGTGGTACAATGCCCTCAGAGGTCAGAAGAGGGTGTCGGATCCCCTGGAACTGGAGTTACAGATGATTCTTAATGGCTATGTGGGTGCTAGGAATCAAACCCAGGTCCCCTGCAAGAGCAGCCAGTGCTCTTAACCACTGAGCCATCTCTTCAGCCCCACGAATTCAACAATGTTTCAAAGCGTTCAACATAAGGGGACTGGGAAGATGGTTCAGTGAGTAAAGTACCTACCAAGCAAGCATCAGGATCCCCAGAACTGATGGAAGAAGCGGGCCCAGTGGCATGTACCTGTAATCCCAGCGAGGAGACAGGCAGATCTCTGAAACTGTGGCCATCCAGTTTAGCCAGATGGATGAGCTCAGTGAGAGATCTTTTCTCAAAAACATAAAGACAGATTGCAGTGGGAGAAAAGACACCTGACATTTACCTCTGGTCTGCACACTCATGCACACACAAGTGCATGCACATAAGTACACACATGCGCATACCTACACTAACAAGTACATATACCACATACAGCATACCAAAAAATCCAGTAAAACATAAGCATATATTCCATTCCTCTTGACCCCAGAATATATATATATATATATAACATTCAGCACTAATTATAGGAGCCAAAAAGTGGAAATTGCATAATTGTCCTTCAATAGATGAATGAAGCAGGTATGGTAATACAAAATTGTAATCCCAGCACTTGAGAGGTAGAGACAGGAGGATCAACATTCAAGGCTAACCTTTGCCACATAGCAAATTTAAGGCCAGCCTCAGTTACATGAGACCCTAGCTCAAAAACATAAAAATAAAAAGACAAACTGGACTGATGAAATGGTTCAGCAGATGAAGGCACTTGCCGCCAAACATGACAACCTGAATTCCAATCCCTAGGACTCACATGATAGAAGGAAAGAACTGATTCCTGCAAATTGTCCTCTGTCATCCACAAGCATGTGTGTGCACGCGTGCACACACACATAATAAAAAAGAAGAGTTGTATGTATGTGATACATACAATGGAACATTATTAGCATAAAAAGGAATGAAATTCTAATGCATATTATAACTTGACATACCCTGAAAATATATATGAAATGAAGGAAGCCACTCACGTGGGCACACGTAATTGTTTGATCCCATTTATATAAAATAATTTTAGGCAGACCTGTAGAGGGGTATAGTTGGTAGAGTCAAGGAGCCAGGATATAGGGAGTGACTGCTACTGGGTAGGGGTTACTGTGGAGTCATAAAAATGTCCTACAACTACACTCTGGTGATGGTTGCACACTTTGTGAATATATTAAAAATTGCGTAATTTCAATTGAGGGATTTGAAGGATATTAGAGCTCTGAGTATGAAAGTGAAGGTTGGAAAAGCAGTGAAATGACATAGGTCTGTATTTCTAAGAAATCACTATTTGCATTCTTAGGTATACATCATTAAATGCCAGAATTGCAAGACAATCACAGCTGTGTAAGGAGTTAAATTCTCTGCATTAGTGTTGCAAACAGGGGTAGGCCTTTTACTTTTTCTGCTAGTCTCTAGTTTTCACAGACAGTAAAATGCCATTAAGGTCTTGTTCATTTGTGAATAGAAACTGACAGTTCTCAGAGGGTCTGCATTTTTTTGTTTTGATAGATATTTCTTCCCTGTGTGTTGTAATAAAATTATCTGAAGAAAGCTGCTTCTTCCTCTCAGTGATAACAAATAAGATAATTAAAACTTTTGTACTGCTTCTTGTACTCTTTCACATGTGGCTGGGATGTGACTCACTGTAGAGTGCTGATGTAATGTTTCACTTTATTAATAACTTGTGCCTCCATTTTTACTCATTCATTTTTTTCTTTTTGTGGTGCTGGAGGTTGACCCCAGCAAGCACTCTGCCACTTAGCCACCCTTCCACCCCAAGCGTCTCCATTTTAACACAGCCAGTTTGGAAACTTTATTTTCTTTAGGTACAAATTGAAAAGTTAGATATAAACTGATGAAGTTCTTTAAATATTTCTATTTTGTGAAATGCACTGACTTTTGAAATGTTTATGTAGATTATTTCATATTTCTGCATTATGATTTCTTTGATAGAGATAAAAGTGTTCATGTTTCATAATTTCATAGTACTTTTTTACTTAGCAACATTTGGGGAGTCCTTGTAAAAGTATAGGCTGTAATCTTTTTTTTCTTTTTTCTTTTTTTGTCTTTTTGAGACAGGGTCTCCCTGTAGCCCCAGCTGTCCTGGAACTCACTATGTAGCCAGGCTGGCCTTAAACTCACAGAGATCGCCTGCCTCTGCCTCCCGAGTGCAGGTATTAAAGGCATCTGCCGTCACCATCTGCCCTTAAAATGCTTTTTAAGGAAGCTGAGTCTTTCTGGTCATTTGTTGATGTTAAACACAAAATGGCTACTAGGTATGGTGGCACACAGGCCTTTAATCTCAGCACGCTGTCTCAAGGAGAAGAAGCAGTAAAAAATCCATTCTTTTACTTTTGAGAGAAAAGTACTTTGGCAACACTCAGTGGTGTCATTTTTTATTGGACGTTATAATATGCATAGTTATTAGTGTCTGCACTACAGTGTTGGCACGTGGTGGGTGTGTGTTCAGCAAGTGCTCATGGCATAAAGGAGCAAAGCTTTGTCTGGTGGGCTTTTCTATTTGAGTGAACTGTTTCTTCCACCTCTTTAGCCCCACATTCCATGTCATGTTAAATGAAAATTCAGAAATAGGATAATAGTACATTCTTTTATGTTTCAGACCACCCAGGCTTGGAAAACATGGAACAGATTGAGAAATTTCAGGAAAAGGCTTATGTGGAATTCCAAGATTACATAACCAGAACATATCCAGATGACACCTATAGGTATCTAAGTTAAATACTACTTAAAGTAGTAGGTTAAAGGTTTTGTTTGTTTGTTTGTCTGTTTGTTTATTTGGTTTTGTTTTAGGGTTTGGTGGGGTTTGTTTGTTTGTTTTGAGATAGGATCTCCTGTAGTATAGGCTGTTTTAGAACTCACTATGTAGCCAGGGTGGCCTTCAACTTCTGATCCTCCAGCCTCTGCCTCTGGAGTCGTGGGATAACAGGCTTGTGACATAAGGCCTTGCCTAAAAGCTTTTTAGTGAACCTATTTCTTCTTTTTTTCTGGGGGCAGGGTGGGAGGTTGAGACAAGGTCTGTCTATAATCCCAGTTGGCCTGGAACTCACTATATAGGCCAGGCTGGCCTTCATCTCAGAGATTTACATACCTCCACCTCCCAAGTGCTGAGATTAAAGGCATGCACCACCATTCTAACAGTAATTAAATATTCATTCAATCTTGACCTTTGAAATAGCTAATGCTACTGAAAGCAATACTGTGGCTGTGGATTAGCTTAAAGTTCCAGTGCTTGTTTACCATGTGTGAGGTCCTAGGCTTAGTTCTCAGCATCCCCAAAAGAAGAAGAAATAATAATAAATAGGGAGGGTCTGGGGCTTTGGTTTAGTGGCAGCACACATGGTTAGCATGTGCAAGCCCTGGATTCCATCCCTAGCACTAGAGGCAGGGAAAGACAGTGTGTTGGTACTAGGCTCTACATGTAAAAGCTAATGAGTGCTCACATTTTATATAGTAGAAGAGAGAGGGTAAGTAACTTGCTCAAAGATGCACAGTAATTGGCAGAGCCTGACTTTGAGCCAAGGGAGTTCAGTTGTAGAGCCCAGACTCTTCCAGTGAAATAATGAAATTTATAAATAAAAAGAGAGAGGAAAGAATGAATTAAACACTATTAAACCGGCATATTTAATTAACTTTGAAACATGGCCAATGAAAATTCTTCCAAGTTATTTTGGCCTTGCCAGTGTTCTTTGGGGTAGGAGGGAATCTTTTATTTATTTTCATTTTGTAGTAGAAAAAAATTATATATACATATTTTTTTTAATATGTGTATGCCTGCATGTAGGTGTCATGCAATGCCTGTGGAGGACAGAAGAGGCTGTCAGATCCTCTAGAACTAGAGTTATGGACAATTGTTAGCTGCCATGTGGGTGCTGGGATTCGAACCCAGGTCTTCTGCAAGAACAGCCAGTGTTCTTAACCGCTGAGCCTGTAGTAGAATATTTTATAACAGAAAGCTGCTGAAAACATTACATGCTAACAGAGACAATACAATACACAACTGGGGTTGGGGTCGACGGGGAAAACAAGGCAGAAGCCAAAGGGCTACACCAAGAGCCTCTCAATAGACTGCTGAGGGAACTAGAGCTGCTGCTTTAGCCAAGAGTCTTCTTTGATGGTGACAGAACCAGCAGCGACCGGCCTGGAGATCCCACAGGCCTGTCCTAGGACCTGCTTGGAGCACACAAACATGCAGAACATTCTTGTCTTCACACAGCAGCAGGAGGTGCTGGGTGATTTCCAAGGGCTCAGCATCTGCCGTCATCACAGTAAACTCTGATATACCCAGTTGAGGGTCTGGTGGCCTCCATGGCTCCTTTCCGAAGCTGCTTGTATACAGTTACATGACTGCTGAACAAGGTCTTGTAGTTTCTTGGTGAGGTGGGTATCTGCCAGAGGATAGGCCTTTGGAGTAAGTCTCCATCGTGGCTGCAGTCTGCTCTCGTTGCTGTTAGCCTACAACAGCCCACCTTACACAGGCCAGAACGCTGCCTTTTTTTTTAAATTTATTTTTTATTTTATTTGGTCTTTTTGAGACAGGGTCTCCCTATAGCCCCAGCTGTCCTGGAATTCACTACATAGACCAGGCTGACCTTGAACTCAAAGAGATCTGCCTGCCTCTACCTCCCAAATGCTGGGATCATAGGCATGCACCACCACGCCTGGCTTTTTTTTTTTTTTTTAATCAGCCACTTATATTTGGAGAAGGGACAGTATAGTAACACTATTAAACATACAGCTGTCTGAGCCAGAGAACCTGAACCTGGGTCTAAATCTTGCTTCTAACTGCATCATCTTGAGCAAGTTTTTTAACTTCTTTTTTCATTTGTTTTTTGAGACATTATCTCACTGTGTTGCCCTGTCTGGCTTCAAACTTAACCTGCTTCAGCCTCCTGAGTCACTGGGATGATAAGCATAGGACAACAAGCTTGCTGGATTTAGTGCCTTTCCTTCCGTTTCTGGATAATAATAGTATCCACTTTTCACAGTTTTACCAGGCCTCCTTACCCATGGCTTCAGTTGCCTGTGGTCAACCCTGGTTCAAAAACATTAAATGGAGAGTTCCAGAAAGTATTCATAAATTCCAAATTGCATGCTATTCTGATTAACATGTTGAAATCTCGCATTATCCGGTTTGGCCCTACCTTGGATGTGAATCCTCTCTTGTTCAACCTTGGATGTGAATCCTCTCTTGTTCAGTATTATCAGCACTGTAGATATAAAGCTTAGTGTATTACCTATGGTTTCAGGCATCTGCTGGCATCTTGGAACTTATTCTCCACAGACACATGGGTGGGGTGGAGGAGGACTACTGTATTATAAGGATTAATAAGTTAATGTATATAAACTGCTGAAAACCATCTCTATTATATAGTAAGGGCTACATGAATATATTTGCTCATAATAAACATTATTTAGCATAATTCTAGTAAAAGAACATTGTAGGGGCTGAGGATGTAATTCAATTGGTAGAGCACTTACCTAGAATGTATAAAGCCCTGGGTTTGATGCCTAGCACCATATAAACCAGGCATGGTAGCACATATCTGTAGTTCTAGCTCTCAGGAGGTGGAGGCAGGAGGATCAAGAGTTGAAGGTCATCCTCAGCTGCATAGAGAGTTTAAGGCCAACCTGGACTATATGATCCTGTCTCAAAAAACAAAGAAGAATATTGTACATAATAATGCTTTATAGATATTAAGTAATATCTATTTATAAACGAGTTGCATCAAGAAAATCAACCTTGATTTAGCTTACTAATTTTCCAATCCACTTAAAACTGTGAATGCAGCTCAGTTGGTGGGAACAAAAGGGAACTGGGTATTTTGAGGAACAGAATCCTTGTAAGGCTTTAGAAAAGAAAAAAGATACATGTATGACAAGGGTTTTTCTGAGTGGTTGTTGTGATTGCTCTTCAGTTTCCTAAACTTTAAGAACTTTTGTTTTACATCTCTCATTATTCAAGTGAATACATCATTTAAAATTTCCATCCTCTTTCATACACAGGCGGCCATTAGGTTGTGGGTAGGTACTTTGCATGTTCTGTTGCGCTCTCAAGTTTTTCACAGTCCTGCCTATAAAAATCTTTGAGCAACTTTTCAACTTAAATCCTTGAATATCCTTTTAAATTTAAAGTACACTTTCACACAGCCATGATCCTACTTCTATAAACCTTACTTCCTACATAGGAATTAATAGGAACCATTCGTGGGAAAGGCAGGGAGTAAGTGACTTATGCATTTTATCATAACTGGGGAGCAGTTGAATCGCAATTTAAACTCAGCTGCCTTTTTCCATATCTTCACTCTTCATAATAGCATCTGTTGCCTCATACCATTCCTGGTAGTGTTTTTGTTTTTGAAAAGAAAACGGTTATTGGGCCTCATGTGTTCAGATAACACAGAATTTTGCTGTCCTTACCATGTGAAATGAGTTGGGAAGCTGTTCTTAAGTGATCCTGACCCATGGTTTAATAACTTAGTTCCAAGGTCCTTAGAGCCAAGTGGGGGCAGCAGGGTTTGCAGGTCAGAGCAAGGCGTTCCTGTGGAGTCTCACAGGCTGCCTTAGTGTGCAGCTGGTGATCATTTATATGCAGAAATTGCTAGTACTTTCCTCCCAAGTCTTTCTCATTTACAGCCTGTTTTCCCTCCCCTTTTTGCTTTCAGGTTATCTCGACTACTACTCAGACTGCCAGCTTTGAGACTGATGAATGCTACCATCACTGAAGAGCTGTTCTTCAAAGGCCTCATTGGGAACGTACGAATTGACAGTGTCATCCCACATATTTTAAAAATGGAGCCTGCAGATTACAACTCTCAAATAATTGGTCACAGTCTTTGAAAACTGAGATCACAGTCCTATAAACTCAAATTTATTGTTCCTTCTCGGGACACAAGAAGAAACCAAATTGAACTGATTGCTTCCAGGGCATCTGGAAATGTTGACTTTAACAAATAACCAAAATTCAAGGTATTTTTCTTTTGGTTTCCTTGAGAAGAATTTTTTTAAGTGACTGGGCAGCCATCAGGAATAAGATTTCCTTGCCTGTCCTGTGTAAGTGAATATAAAATGGTATGAATTTATTCTTGGTGAATATAGCACCTAAAACTGTCTCCTCTTGACCATTTAAACTTTCTCATTCTATTTAATAAAACAAATAAATTGGTCTTTTTTTCCCTGAATTGTGTTCCATTCAATATTTAATTTCATTTGAGGTAGCATACCATGACCAACACACCTAAGCAGAACTTCCTTCTGTTTTATTCTTCCACAATGTAATCATTTTAATTACCATGTCAAAAGATTATTTTATGCTCAATGATATAATATTAGAAGTATAGGAAATAATAAATGACTATATATTTTTGGCTTTTATAAATATCAAGGTGCCCTTTAGCCTAGACCACTCATTGCTGGCAGTGAGACAAAGGCTGTTTGCAATTTTCAGTGTTGTATATTATTAGTTAGAAGCACTTTTTATTTATGTGGCAGAAAATTGGTTTTGAGGCTAGATGGGGAATCTTGTTTTAATATTTTGGGTTTACTGTGTTTTAAACATAGTAAAGACTGAGCCCAGAATGTTTCAGTATTTTAGAATAGGTATTAAAATTGTTGCTTGGGGCTGAAGAGATGGCTCAGTGGTTAAGAGCACTGACTGCTCTTTCAGAGGACCGAGGTTCGATTCCCAGCACCCACATGGTGGCTAATAACCGTCCATAACTACAGTTCTAGGGAATTTGACACCCTCTTCTGACCTCTGCAAGCATTGCACAACATGTGTGCACTTACATACAAGCAGTACACTCATACACATAAAAGTAATGAAGTATAAAAAATAAATAAAATCATTGCTTTTGCATTCCACAGAAAGCCCCTGATCTTTGTCTCTTCTCTGATCTGGGTTTTGGTCATTTATATTAGATTGTTCAAAAGACTCACCCATTTTGTTAAGTAATGGAATTATCGTAGCTTATCGGTCTTCACAATGAATTAAATAATTAATTTAAAGCAATTGATCATTTTTAAAGATGATATGCACTGATTTTTTTTCCTGTAAAGTGGAGGAAGGCTGCAAACCAGTGTAAGGAGTGGTCTGAACCCTCGTTATTGCTACAACTTAAGCATTTTAGACTCCTCAGTCTTCCACATTAGTGTGACAAGAAGCCAATTACTGTTGAATATTTCTTTGCTTCAATTGCATAATGAATTCTTTTGGTAAATCTATTCCTCACTTTGTTGATTTGTTTTGCTTTGCTTTGTTTTTAAGACAGAGTCTGACTCTGTAGCCCAGGCTGGCCTCAAATTTACAGTCATCTTCCAGCTTCTGCCTTCCAAGTGCTGAAATTACAGGCTTGCACCCTACTATTTGTTGATTTTTAAAACACAAATATGGAGATTTTAATGCAGACAGAGTACATTTTTTATAAAGATTTTTGCTGAAATTTTTCTAGGGGTTGGATTTTACTGATTAATTTATAGTAACAAGAAGTTTAAAAGTGTAATCTTGCAAACTTTATCAACTTACCGAGGGAGGTTTCTCCCCGATTTAAATTTGACAACAGCTTTGCTTGTAATTAACTGCTGGGAAAAGCTACATAGAGCATAAAATGCTCAAATGGAAAATTTCAGTAGGGCGTGTCCAGCCTGCAGCCTAACATGTTTATAGATGACAATGTCATATCACAATGTCAGAAGATTGGATACCTCTGCTACCTTTATAAACCCAAGATAGTAATCCTAGGATTCAGAAAAATAATCCTTTAAAGCAATGTATTAATGGTCAACTAAGATGTTTCTTTGAGATATTTTTCCTGTTTAAATTTGTAGTTATATTTGGAAGTGTTTTTAAAACTGTATTAAAATGTGACTTGCATTACAAATTTCTGTATCCTTCCAATGTACTTTATTTCAATGATGTTTTTATTCAGTGTTTGGATATCTTTCATGTCATACAGAAGGGAAAATAGCCCAGTGGTAGAACATGTGCTTAGCATTGGCAGAGCCCTGGGTTCAATTTCCAGTACCACAAAAAATTTTAAAAAACATGTCATCATTTAAGAGGAAAAAATAAGGGGCCAGCAAGATAGCTCAGTGAGTCAAAGCTCTTGCTATGAAAACTTGGCAACCTGAGTTTCATCCCTGGAACCCACGTAAGGGTGGAAGGAAAGGACTGACTCCACATGGGCACCATGGCTTACACATATGTGTGTGTGTGTGTGTGTGTGTGTGTGTGTGCAACTAGATACACAAAATAATAAAATTTAGTAAATCAATAAAAATAGCCTAAGTACCCATCAACAAGAGAATAGATGCATGGATTGCGGTATAGTCGCCCTATGTGTATAGAAAAAAAAAGCTAAAAACATACAAAAAGTTTAATTTGACCAGTTTGTTGGAAAAAGGCAAGTATTCTTAACTCTTACTTGCATATGTGGTAAAATCCAATGTTTAAAAAGCATGTGAATTCAGAATAATTGTGGATAATGGCTACTTCTGGAGAGGTAGGAGGAAGATGCAAATGGAGAAGGATATACAAAGAGCTTCAAAACTGTTGATAGTGTCTCAAGTACCAACTGCTTTGCAATAAGCCACCCCAAACCTATCAGTTTAAGCATTTATTTGCTCATGAATCTACAACATGGACAGAGCTTGGCAGGGACAGCCTCATTCCTCTCTCTATTCAGTCAGAGCAAGATTCACACAAAAGGCAGAGATTTAAATCTCTGTAGTCACTCACATGTCTGGAAGTTGTTAGTTGTGATTGACTGGGACTTCCAGTGGGACTGAAGCCAGGACATGTACATAATCCCTTTGTTTTGTTCCTCACCACTAATAGAGCGCCTCACCACTAAGCGTTGCTAGAGCAGGTGATAGCCATATCGCCTTTTCTTGCCTGCTATCAGACCGCCCCCTGTGTCTCTTCTGCTGCATTCTAGTCTTCAAAGAAACCATAAAGACTTGTACAGTTTCTCTCCACCTCAAGAGGAAGTGACCAGTCAGGAAGAACATGTGAAACTGGAAATATTCCAGCTCTTTGGGGAACAGATGTTGCATCTCACTTTCACCTAAAAGTCCAGACTAAGTGGCTGGAGAGATTGCTCAATAGTTGCTCTTCCAGAGGACCAGGATTCAGTTTCCAGCACCTATGTGGCGGCTAAAAACTGTCCTTAACTCCAGTTCCAGGAGATCCGATGCCATCTTCTGGCCTCCGTGAGCATTGCACAGAGAAGATATTACCAGGAAAAACAAAACAAAACCCCTGCAGACCACTCTCCCTGATGATTATTGATAAAAAAAAAAAAACCTCAAAATAATACTAGCAAGCTGAATTTCTTAGCACAATAAAAGGATTATACACCACAATAAAAAGGGATACTTTTTTTTTCCTGGAATACATGGATGATTTCATAAAAGTCTGTGTAATAGGATGAAGAACAAACACAACCTTGATACAGCAAAAAAGCATTTGACAAAATACTCTTACCCAGATGTGGTGCATGCCTATAGTCCCAGAACTTGGGAGGCTGAGGCAGGACAATTAAATGCCCAATTCAGAACCAACCTGGGTAACATAGCAAGATCTTAAAAAGGGAAAAACAGGGAGTGGTGGGAAGTGACAAAATACAGTTTGTCTCATGCAGAATACACATTTATGTGTGTGTGTACACACACATATGTATATGACATGAAAGAAGAGGGACTTTGGGGGAGAAACAGTCTCAGAAGGGAGTTGGGTGGGGAGGAGATAAGCACATCACAGTGATGCATATGCATGAACGTATCATAATAAAACCCATTACAAAAAATTTAGTGTTCTTTCATAACAAGCTAGGAATAGGACAAAATTAATACATTAAAACAGTATGTAAAAATCCACAGCTAACATTCAGTAGTAAAAAATGAAAATATTTTCCTCTGAGATTAGGATTAGGGGAGGACTGCTACTCCTAGTCAGCATAATACTAGAAGTCTTAGCCAGATTAATTAGGCAAGAAGAAGGAAATATACTCCAATATTGGAAGGGAAGAAGTAAAAATCAGCTCTGATCAGATTATGTAATCACATGCAGAAAACCCTAAAGGTTCCACTCCCCCGCCAAAAAATGATTAGAATTAAACAATCTCAAGACACAAAATCACCACAAAAATCTATTGTCTCTTTACACTAATGTTGACAATCCAAAAAGTGAATTAAGAAAATAGTCATGGGCCAGGCATGGTGGTGCATACCTTGAATCATAGCACTCGGGCAGAGACAGAGGCAGGCAAATCTCTGTGAGTTTGAGGCCAACCTGGTCTACTAAAAAGTTCTAGCTGGGCCTACATAAGACCCTGTCTAAAAAAACAGTAACAATTACAATAGCACCACAAAGAATAAATTCTTAGGAATATACTTAATTTGAGATGAAAGACTTTTACGCTGAGAGTTGCAAAACATAGCTGAAAGAAATTAAAGACGATACAAACAATGGTAAGACATCTGCTTTCCTGAGTCGGAAGATATGTTTGTACTTTTCTGTTGCTGTGATAAAGCACCATGGCCAAAAGTGACACAGGGGAGAAGGGGATCTACTTTCGCATAAGGTTCCAAAGATTCCATAATCATTGCGGATGGGGGGTATGACAACAGGTGGCTGGAACAGCAAGCTGAGAAATCACATCTTAACAGCAAACACAAAGTAGAGAGAGCAAACTGGAAGTGGGTCAAGGCTATGAATTCTCAAAGCCCACCCCCCAGGACATACTTCCTCCAGCTGTGCCTCCTTATCCTCCCCAAAGAACAGCACCAACTAGGGACCAAGTATTTAAATACTTGAGCCTGTGGGGGACATTTCTCATTCAAACCACTACAGAAGACAATCCTGGTTAAATGTCAGCACTGCCTAAAGCAGACTCAGTGGAGACTTCTTCAAAATCTCAATGGCACATTTTTTGCAGAAAATTTTAAAATCCCAAAATTCTTATAGATTCTCAAAATTATGCTCCCCCACCCCAGCAGCCAAAAATGAGAAAGAAAAAAGCTGGAGGCTTCTCACTTCCTGACTTCAAAACATAAAGATAGAGTAATCAGAACAGCATCGTTCTGGCATTATGACAGAAAGAACTGATTAGAAAGCCCTGACATAAACCCTGAGGAGTTTGGTTAAATGATCTTTGACAAATGATACCATCGTGAAATTATAAACCTCATCAAAGGACAGTACTGTAGTTGGGTACCTGGGTGTGCACCTATAGTACCAGACAGTTGGGAAGATGAAACCAAGGATTGCTTGGGTCCAGGAGTTCAAGGCCAGTCTGTGAAACCCAGTAACAAAAAAGGAGAAGAAAAAAAAAAGGAGAAAAAGGGGGCTGGAGAGATGGCTCAGTGGTTAAGAAAACTGGCTGTCCTTGCAGAAGACCTGGGTTCAATTCCCAGTACCCACATGGCAGCTAACAACTGTCTGTAACTCCAGTTCCAGGGAATCCCACAGCCTCTTCTGTCCTCTGTGGGCATTGCACGGACATAGGTGCACTTACCTACATGCAGTCATAACACTCATACACATAAAATAAAAATAATAAAATATTGTTTTTCAAAAAAAGGAGAAAAAGGACAACCCACCAGCCTCTCTCCTGGATAAGTCCATCGGTGCCCTCCGTGTTTTGACTCCCCCAGACACATAACCCCCCCCATCTCTCCTCCTAGCGTGGGTACTGTCCCATTCTTGTCTTGGCACCCCAGACACTGGGGCTGCCCTGGCAGCCCAGAAAAACCACTGCTTCCTGATCCTTTGCATCCAGACCAAGCCAGTTCCTTCTCCCACTCCCCAGGAGCCCTTTGGGCCTGGTCCCGCCCTCACCTTCCTCTGCTTTCCTGGGCTGCACAATCCACCAGCCTTTTTCCTGGACACCGGGGCTGTCCTCTGGGCCTGGAACCACCACTGCTTCCTGATCATTTGCATCAAGATGAACCCAGTTCCTTCTGGCAGTCCCCAGGAGCCCTCTGGCCCTGGTCCCACTCTCACTGCCCTCTGCTTCCTTGGGCTGCACAACCCGCCAGCCTCCTTCCTGGGTAAGTCTATCGGTGCCCACAGCACCTTGACTCCCCCAGCCACATTCACTCTCCCAGCTCCCTGCCCCATCTCTCCTCCTAGCCTGGGTGATGTCCCATTTCTTGTCTTGGCACCCCAGACATGGGGGATGACCTCTCTGCTTGGAGTCACCACTGCTTTCTGATCATTTGCATCCAGAACAACCCAGTTCCTCCCTGCAGTCCCCAGGAGACTTGGGGCCTCTTCCTGCCCCCACCTCCATTTACATCCCTGGATGGCACAGCCACCAGCTGCCCAAGACCAGCATCTTTCCTGGGCCCAGCTCCCAGGCCAGTCCAACCCCCAAATTCCTGAGGACAACATCTTTCTGGGAAGGATCCAGACCTTAGGAGAAAGCCTGAGAACATCTGATCCTCATCTGACTTGGACCTCTGTGGGAACTCCTGAAGACAAAAGCAGTTTGGCCACACCAATATAAAATCAAAAGAGAGAACAGGAAGCATAGATGAACGAGCTTTTCATGCCCCAAAAGTAACCCACAAAGGTGCATTAAGTTTACAAAAAGAAGCAGACCTAACTTGAAGGCTTGAGTCTTACACAAGAATCAGAAACTACAAAAGAAATTCACATGTCAAAATCACAGAGAAAAAATAATAATATGAAAAACCAAAAAAACATATCTCCACCA